GGGAATCTGTCATTTCAAACTTAAACTGGATTCATGGATACTATAGGTTCATCTGGAGCGGTCGTAAGACTTTGGTTTAAAACTATTGGTATACATTAGTTTCAAGATCATGTTTGAATAAACGACGTACGGACGTGTTTTGGCCTTTCTTAACTATAAAGATGAGTTTTCCTGGAGTGCTTCAGTGATATGTATACTGTAGTTCTGGATAGAATAACGAAGGAAGATGTTCTAATAATCCAACCGCTTGTTTTTGTTTAAGTCCCAGAATGACATTACAGCTGTTATACAAACTATGTAATCTACAGAATAATTTATGATATTCAAAGATGAACTACATTTCGATGTCATTTTGCATAAAAGAATATTGAACTAAACTAAACAAAAGTTGCACAGCTATTTGTATTTCAACAAACTGAAAAAGTCACCTTTTTGACGTAGCAGTTGAAGTTATTGAAGTTTTAGTAACTAATCTTGAATTAATATGGTATGCGAATAATTTAACCTAGAAATATCAGTTATAGTATATTGACGTAACAATTTAAAAAGGACCTGAAATGTCATTTAAAACAAAAATAACTGAACTAGTAATGAAACTCTTCTGTAAGTTCAACTTTGTAAGTGCATATAATTTCTTTTACCATGTTAGGCATTCATTGTAGAACAAATTTTTGAAGTTGTATACCAAAAATATTGTTTGTTTTTTGCGCAAAATTATGTCGTCGAAAAATGTAACACCTTCACTTGCTCCACCGTTCAGGTAAGGGAGTTATTAGTTAACAAACACTTAAAGTCATCAGTGTAATTGCGCTTCAATATCTATAAACATAACTGATCAAAATATCTACAGTGAAGTATCATCGATTTCAATTCGTTTGTCTTCCAAGTTCTAAAAGTAGTTTTTACAAGTCCTAACCAATCCCTATGTGTTTGTTTTTGTTGTGAATATTATAACTAGCTAGTCTGATGTAGTTCCCTTATTTGTGTGCCACCAGAATATGCTGAGATTATTCTGATCAGAGGTTGATTTAAACAGTGATTTTAATTTTTTCATATGCTGTATGTTTTCGTATCAATGATAGTAATATACAATGTATTATACCAACAAAATTACTATATACATATTTTCGAGACATATTCACACAAACAAACAATTAGTCAGTCAACAAGTAGGTGATTCGATATCAGTAAAACAATAATTAAATATCAATAAAAGTTTTGGTTAACCAGAAAAACACATAGTAAACATGTTAACAGCATGTAACAGGCATGGTTTTATATCAAAAATAATAACACTTTACGTAAATTCAGTAAATACTGGCATTTGTAAATAGATATGAAAGTTGTTCAAAGGTGGCGTAAACTAATAGTTTGTTCAACTGTTTATTTTCATGCACCTAATGGTGATGATGATGAATGTGAGTCCAAAGTTTACTAAACAATTCAAATCATCCTCTTCAATTAGGAATCTTGATTATCTTTCTGTTCACTGATTGAACCTATTTATTTAAACAAAATAATTGAAGTTTTTTTTAATGAACACATTCAAGTTTATCTGATGTAGGTATAAATAAATATATAAACAAGACATGGAGTTATTCACAAAATCAGTATTTAAACAAATGAAAAAGATTATTAATCGTTGGACGAGCAAAACTTGAATAACCTTAGAATTACTGTAACTGTGAAATTCTGTATTTTACTTTGAGACCATACTATTCAGATTACTACTGATTAACAACGATAGTAGCAGTGATGAAAAGAGATACTTTTTATTTCTCAGTGATAAGGTTATCAGTCATAACTTCTACACATTTACAAATAGTAATTGGAAGTTAAATAAGTTATTAAGGAGTTGTCAAAGTGAAGTGAGGTATTAAACCTGTTGATTAAATTTATTCACAAAACAACATTTTATGCATTCAGAATAACATCTTACCAGCATTCATCAATAGTTGTTCATTTAACTTTGAAGACTTATTACTAAAGTCTGTTAAGACGTAATCTCTGAGAAAATAAATTTCATCACTAAACTTAAAACTCTTGAATTTTGACTTAACTTCGAAGTCACCAAAAAACTAAATGATAAGTTGGGACCGAATTCTTAATGGACTAATTTTATCATTTTCAATTAACCAAAATTCATCAAAATGAATGTGGTCTAAGATAAAACTATTGGCTGTGTTAAGAGTTGTTTTGTTTTTTAAAGACGTTTGTTAGGTGTGTACTGTATGTTGCAACTATAAAATCCATAAAGTACTTGACATTCAAGTAAAACTGTGCAGGTTGTAGAATTTTGACAGTTCAAATCACAAACTGATCTTAGGTAGACCACCACTGAAAACCTGGATGCATAAGACGGTTGTTTTGTCCCTCAGTAGTGCACATTCACGACCCTGTATCCCGAAGTCGAATCCAAGACTCTAGGTTTCGTTGGGAACGCTTAATCTCTAGACCACTGAACTGGGATCCTGTGGTCCACATGTTTAACTTCAGCCATTTTACAATATTGATCAATGCCCATCCATTCTGTGAGACAGATAATTGTCTCACATACGATATGGTTGAACTCTAGCGGGCATGGCTTCCAGGCTTTCACGGGAGGTCTAGCTTATATAAGTTCATGATTCGAACTCCATAATCAGTAGGAAATATTTCAATAACTAAACGCTTAACTTTAGTTGTAAGGTATATTTGTTAGTAACTTCCATGATTCTGTCGTGCTTAGATATAATATTTCAGCAGAAAAGTTACTTCACAGGATGATGTTTTGAAGATGATTCATTTCGAACAAATATTAAATATTAATTTAAGATTTCCTTCAAGTTAACTCAACAAAATCCATCAGGAATCATTCACATAAGCAACAAATCTCTTGATATACACGAAATTATGATAAGTTGTTATTTAGGTGATTTATCGGGTCACACAGCAAAACTGTTTTCCTTTCAACGATATGAAACGATGTTTAAATTTGTGAACAGTTTGTTTTACACTGGTTAACTTAAACGGCTCACTACATGTTGATTTCAACCTGCAAAATACAAATCATTAAATTTTATTTCAAACAGTTGCTATCTCTTTGAATATCAGATGAACAATGAACTTCCGTATTTTGACAAATTTTCTAAGTAATTTGATCATAATTGTGAAGTAGAAAAGTTGTGAAGTAACATTTTACAATATCGATTTGTAGACGAGGCAATAGGTATGTTGAAGTTAACTCAGACCAGCATTATGACTCGTTAAATTTCGCCACAGCAACATTTTTTATTGTCACAATCTGCACATTAATATTATTTGGATGAGGCAATGCCAGATAATTAACGTTTACTATGATTAATGGCTTTGTCATAATATGTTTAATTGTTTCATTATGTTTACCTTGAAACTGAGCTCTCTCTCTAAATCTTATCATTCCTCTCTTGTTAACTGAATGAGCTTTTCATCTTCTTTGGTTTATCATTCTGTATTATCTATTGATCTTTCTGCTTGTGTTAGATCCAGTGTCGGATTAGAACCATTTGCCATCGTCCTCAGTTTGATATTCAAAGGCCATAAACAATAACAAGAGCAAATAATTCATATTATGCTGTTCAAATACATATTCGCAGATAACTTTTGCTGTTGGACAACCTTGACAAAAACCTTTCCATCATTTATAAGGATAGTTTACAGTTGTAGAGCAAATCAATAAGCAATGTATGAATTTACTGCTTTAAATTAAATGTCAGGTATGTAAAAAAATTAGTACTTCCGATCAAGTTGTAAGCACACGACGTGCCACATACTAGTAACACGAATCCTTTACTGGTGAGTAGAACAACTAACTGTATGGAACAACCTATTTCAATTATCATGAAAGAAGTAAGATGAAGCTAGTGAAAAATTAAACTGCTACTGTTTCGAAGTAAATGGAGTTCTTTTTATTACTTATTAGTTAACTAAAATGTAACAGATATTCAATATACTTAATCATCTAGTTGAATAATGATTTAATTGTTATCTAATCAATTTGGTTGATGAAATGAATCACGTTCGGAAATCTTGCAAATTGAGATTGCCGTGATCCCTATCACAGATTTCACTGTAGCCCTGATTATGATTGCAATTTATTATTAGTGTTAGTGGAGATATATATGAACATATTCAATGTTTTAAGAGAAACTAATCATAAAACAGTACCATCGAATTTAAAATACAACTACTCACTTCTTGTTACATTAATTTTCTATAATATGGACGTCACATATACATTTTTAAGCATGATCATTCATTTGGAATTTCCTTGTCTCAAGTGTGGAATTTTAATTTTATTACAAGGACTTATGTAGAAATGTTTTACTTTAAGTAAAAAATTAAAGGTTGATAAACTTGTGTAAGTTAAATATTCAGTGCGATGTGTTATTAGTTTATAGAAACCATACGATCATATAGACTGACTAAACACCTTGATATCTTAGCATGTATTAAGCTGTTTGTTGCTAATATGAATCAGTGGTTGGTTGGCGATCGACTTAACATAGTCTGTTTCTTTTCAATGGTTGCATATTTTTGGTTGAATAGTGTTTCGCGTCACACTGCGTTTTAAACCTGATGGCTGAAGTTAATTGAGAAGAAAAATTCCCTATTTTATTTTATTTTCATCTTTGTTTTGTTTCATTAGCTGAAATGTTCTGCAACTGATAGAATATTCGCGGAAAAATGATCTAAATTAGGTTTAGTATGGGATTAAAACCATCTGTCGATCACATCAAAGAATCCTTGTCATATAATTATTCTGTAGACTAAATTTAATAGAGTGATTTTGTAGTGGCTGTGCTTCTATAATTAATCACCCTCGAACCGTTATCGTATAATCTTCAACGATGTTTGAAATCAGAAGGCAAAGAGAAGCAGCTACTACAGTTTTATTTAGTAGATAATTCGGACCAGACAGCAGAGAGGCAAAATGAATGAGCAAGCGAACTACGATTGTAACAGTAGCAAGTAGCTGTGGTAGTAGTAGTAGTTGTTGTTGTTGTAGTAAATGGGTGCAAATGTACACATATATATATGTATAGGAAAATGGATGAGTCAGCGAATAGATTAAGCAGTTAATAATGAAGCTAGCAGAATGAATACATGCGTAGGCGCTAAACAATGTTCAAGCGTATGTATTTCATACAAGCATTAATAATAAAGATAGTACAACAAGTTGTTATATCATGGATGACTTTGTCCACTAAATAAGTTAACAAAAAGGGCTTAACTGGGTTAAATGAAAATAAACCCATTAGCACGTGAGTCGCTATAATAGCTCCCCCCTGCAAACAAAGATATATGGAAAATGTCTGTGTTTGCATAAAAAAAATAGCAAACTGAGTAGGGTAATTACAATCGTTTGAAACAAAATGGTTTGTACAAAATTAAGATGAAGTTGGTGTGTGCTGTACATTTGATTTGCGCCTGTCCGTGAGGTTACATAAAATAATAGCAAGAAATAGAAGGAATGTGGTACTGTCTTTACATTTTAAACAAAAATTATACGCATAAGTGTAAGGGTACATAAGATACGTTGAGTTTTATCGCGCATAACATGAGCTTAATAATGCATGTGTATACGATGAGGTAGAAGTTATAATTAATATTCCAAATAGTAGATTATTATTAATAGAAAATTGTAGCGACATAATGTTGGGGCCATCTTACTCTGCGGCCGGATCTTGTTGTTATCGGAGTCTTGTCTTTTTGTTGAGTTAACGTTGTTGATTTTTGGGACTCGTGTTTCGCTGGTATGACCATCTTAGATGAGTCTGTACTTGTTGATTGAATATCGCTATCGATGAAAGCTGGCTTTACTCGATCGATGCTAATTACATCTGTCTTCCCAGCTTTTTCTATGGTAACCGTTTTATTTGTCCTCTCTATCACTTTAAATGGTCCGTCGTAACTCGGTTGAAGAGGTGGTTGTACTTTATCTCTTCTAATGAATACGTGAGAGCTGTTATGCAGTTCCTGTGGTATGAATACCCGTCGTTGTTGTGGTCTGGGAGGTGTTATTTTTAAATCGCTCATGTGCTTTCTCAGGCGTTGCACATAGCCGGTTACATCAGTCGGGACATTTTTACTTGAAGTGAAGAATTCTCCGGGTAATCGTAGAGTAGTTCCGTAAACTAACTCGGCTGGACAACACCCCATGTCTTGTTTAATTGTTGCTCTTAGAGCTAACATTACTAGGGGAAGTTTATTAGACCAATCGTTGTTAACGATGACGGCTGTAAGGGACGCTTTTAATTGCCTATGTAGGCGTTCAACCATTCCGTTTGCCATTGGATGGTACGACGTCGTTCGGATTCGTTTAATACCGAGGAGTTCAGTAAGCTGCTGAAAGAGTCGACTTTCGAATTGTGCTCCTCTATCCGTTGTGATAATCGTTGGTACACCGTAGTAAGAAATCCAATTTTCAACTAGAGTTTTAGCTACCGTTTCAGCTGAGGTGTCTTTTATCGGCACTGCTACCGGCCATCGTGTAAACCTATCGATGCATGTAAAGATATAGTTGTATCCATTTGAAACGGGCAGTGGTCCTACAATATCGATGTGTATATGTTCAAATCTAGTGTCTGGGTGCGAAAACGGACCTACTGCAGAGCTAGTATGACGATGTACCTTCACTTTTTGGCACTTCATGCATGCTTGTGTCCAATTACGTACATCGTGATTCATGTTTGTCCATACGAATCGTTCACTAATCAGCTTTATCGTGGCTTTTATTCCTGGGTGCGACATGTTGTGCATGCTTTCGAATATTTTGTGTCGCAACGTTTTCGGGATAAATGGTCGCGGTCGGCCTGTTGATGTATCGCAAATTACTTTCGTGTTACCAAACCGCACCTCTTCGAGTACTAATGATGTTGAACCTCCGGATCTGAGTTTATTTAGCTCGATGTCTCTCTCCTACAACTTTGCTAGACCGTTATAATCAATTCCACTTGCCATAAGTGTGCTTATCGTTGCTCGTGACAATGCGTCGGCCACATCGTTTTCTTGTCCTTTAACGTACTGTATGTCGGACGTGAACTGTGAAATGAACTCTAGTTGTCGGATCTCTCTCGGGGAATAATTGTCTTGCTTTGCGCTTAATGCTTTCGTTAGCGGTTTGTGGTCTGTATAGACGGTAAAACTTATGCCCTCAACCATATGACGGAAGTGTTTTATTGCTAAGTAGATTGCTAACAATTCTCTTCCAAACGTACTATATCTCGTTTGGGTAGGATTTAATCTTTTCGAGAAAAATGAAAGCGGTTCCCATATGCCATTTACTAATTGTTGTAAAACGGCTCCTACCGCTACGTCTGATGCATCCGTCATGATAGCTAACGGTGTTTCGCTCTTTCGTCTAGTTAGTGTCACTTCTTTATTTAGTGCTTTTTTAGCGTTCTCGAATGCTTGAATCGCGTCTGTTGATAATTGGAATGTCCGTGCGTTTCCGCGTAATGCATCTGTTAGTGGTTGCAATATTGACGCGCAATTCGGGATAAATCGTCTGTAATAATTTATTAACCCGAGAAATCGGCGTAACTTTTTCCATGAGTCGGGTAGGGGATAATTTTTGATGGCGTCGACTTCTGTTGCTATTGGTGTGATGCCTTGAGAAGTTATATTGTGACCTAGGAACTGTAAAGATTCCTTTCCGAATTCACACTTCTCAATATTTATAGAAATACCATGTTCTCTGAGTCGTATAAATAATTGCCGTAGTTGTTGTATATGCTCATCTTTAGTGGTGCTAGCTACTAATAAATCGTCGATATACGCGTATACTCCAGGTAAACCTCTAATGACCTGGTCGATAAACCGTTGAAAGGTTTGTGCTGCGTTAGTCAGTCCAAAAGGCATACGCAGGAATTCATATAGCCCAAATGGGGTTGTTACTGCTGTCTTCGGTATGTCTTGTGGGGCAACAGGGATGTGGTAGTATGCTCTGACTAAGTCGATCTTCGAGAAGATAGTAGTGCCCTCAATACTGTAGGTGAAATCATGGATGTGCGGTATAGGGTATCTGTCAGCTACGGTTTGTTTGTTCAGCGCTCTGTAATCTCCACATGGCCTAACCTCTCCATTCTTTTTCGGGGCCATATGTAGCGGGGATGCCCACGGGCTGCTCGATGGCCTTATAATGCCTAGCTTCGTTAGCTTGTCGAATTCCTGTTTTGCGATGGCTAGTCTTTTGGGATCTAACCTTCTTGGTCTTGCTTTGATTGGTGGACCATTCGTTACGATGTGATGCTGAATAGAATGTTTGAGATCCGCTTTATTGTATGTTATTTTTACGAGTTCAGGGAACTCCCTTAACAACAATTTATATGGATCACCACGACTTTTATCTATCACAAGGTTCATTGAAACGGCTTCCGTAAGTATTCCTCTTATCGAAGTGGTTTGACTGCCGTTTATAAGTCTGTGTCGTCTCGAGTCTACTAGCAGGTCAAAGTTACATAAGAAATCTATGCCTATTATGGGCATCGATACGTCTGCTATGACAAAGTTCCAACGGTATGAAGCGCCACGTCCAAAATCTAGGAACAATTTCCGTTTACCATATGTCTTAATATCTGATTTGTTTGCTGCTCTTAGCACTAATGACGGATTAATGTTTTTTCTTTCCTCGTTAAATGGAGGTACTACGCTAATTTCCGCTCCAGTGTCAACTAAGAATTGTGCGCCAGTGGTTCGGTCTTGTATATAGAAGAGGCGACTATTTTCAGGCATTATGTGCGTTGATGCCGTTGCCATTGATACTCGTGGGTATCGGTTACTAGCCCTGTTAAATCTACAAGGTTGTAGGCACTTTCTAGCCCTGTAGCCAAACATTTGATGATACCAACATATCGCGGGAGTTGTGCGTCGTCTAGAAGTTGACCGGGTCCTTTCACGCGAGCGATCTCGCGATGACCTTCGTGGTTTTTCTCTCTGCGTTAATTCTGTGAGTTTGCGGCATAAAACATTTATTTCCTTCTGTAGAGTATCAAGTCTATTGTCTACCGTCACGTTGTGTAGTGGAGGGCTTGCTTGCTTGCTTCTTTCGTATATTCTATCGGCTATCTTCGCTATATTGTCTAAATCAGCATCCGTATCTCCCACAGCTAGGATTTGCTGTATATTTGCCGGGAGCCGGCGGAGCCACAGCTGATAAAAGAGATTATTGTCAATGTGTCTGTCGCCAAGTAGACTTTTCATATAATTTTTTAGTTGTGATGGGGTTCTATCTCCAATTTGTACTTGGCTAAGGAGTTGTTCGACGGCTTGTTGGTCACTGAGAGAGAGAGTTTTAATTACTGCCTCTTTTAGCACGTCGTATGGTTTTTCTGTGTCTGGTTTTGCTAGTGCCTCTCGAACGCTGTCAGCTACTTCGTCTGGGAGTAGTGTGCTTGTCAGGCCGAACTTATCCTTTTGCAAAAGAATGCGGTTAGCGAGAAAATAATTTTCAAGTCTTATAAACCAGAGTTTTGGGTCTGTTATTTTAAAAGAAGGGGCAGGGAGGTTAAGAGACCTCACGGACGAGGCTTGCTGTACGCTTGAAACTGTGTTTTCATAAGACATGCTTATAAAAATTAAGTAGCACACGAAAATAACTTAACAGTCACAAGGAAGAATAGATGGGCAAAACAATGATAATAAAAAAATGGTACAATTTATAAAATGGAACAGACTTACTAAATTGCACCAATATATCAATTGTTTATGGATAATTGTTATTTATTATGATTATAATCGTCACGTTTAATAATGTTTGCGAAATAATGTAAGTGTAATCAAAATAATAATATAAATCCACAGTTGTAATTATAGTTCATTTGATAATCCAAATTGAGATGAAAAGAATCGGATTTTTGAGATTTGATTATTTCGCCAAAATTCGCTTTCCGTTCTCACGTCGGGATTACCAATTCTGTAGTGGCTGTGCTTCTATAATTAATCACCCTCGAACCGTTATCGTATAATCTTCAACGATGTTTGAAATCAGAAGGCAAAGAGAAGCAGCTACTACAGTTTTATTTAGTAGATAATTCGGACCAGACAGCAGAGAGGCAAAATGAATGAGCAAGCGAACTACGATTGTAACAGTAGCAAGTAGCTGTGGTAGTAGTAGTAGTTGTTGTTGTTGTAGTAAATGGGTGCAAATGTACACATATATATATGTATAGGAAAATGGATGAGTCAGCGAATAGATTAAGCAGTTAATAATGAAGCTAGCAGAATGAATACATGCGTAGGCGCTAAACAATGTTCAAGCGTATGTATTTCATACAAGCATTAATAATAAAGATAGTACAACAAGTTGTTATATCATGGATGACTTTGTCCACTAAATAAGTTAACAAAAAGGGCTTAACTGGGTTAAATGAAAATAAACCCATTAGCACGTGAGTCGCTATAATTTTTGCAAAATTAGGATTCCTAACTATGTTAACTATCGTCCGTTAAGTAAAACATAATGAACTGTACGCTTTTCTACTAGAAGAGTTCATTTAACGGTATTGAAAGTGTAATAAAATGAAAATGATTTGATGTATTCAGTAAATTACACATACACGTTCAGTAAACTGCCCAAGGACACAGTTGGATGGAGACTGCTGGTGGGAGGCCTATGCTCCTTCTCGAGGGGTAACAGGCGTAAGTATTTGGTAAATTCTTATCATTATAGAATACTTCATATTGTTACATGTAATTCGTTACTTAAACTGTTTAGATTTTAACCTAAACACAATATCGTTATGATATGAACAGCTTAGAAACTAATCGAATTCTTTAATAATATAATGCAAATTTCTCTTATTTCTGCATTAAAACCTGATAAATACACTTAGTCCTACGAACACCATGTCACAATAGAAATTGATAAGTAATTTGTACTTTACTGTCTCCGAGTAGAAATCATTTCTGCACTCCAACTTTAGAAACTGATCTAATAAAATGTAACGAGTTGGGAATATATGAGTCTAAATTATGTCATTGCTGATATTTAGGAAATTCAACCCACAAGTTCTGTACAGAATGAAACGCGCGTTCGGATCGTAGTAGTATTCCCACCCAACTAAGTAGGAGAAGTCTTTTGACCCTCCGGGATCAAAAAGAGCCTTGTAAAGAGTGCGACTAGAGCGCTGAATGAAGTAGAGTAAACCGATTCGTAACATTTTATTCTGCAGTTCTCGTGTGTGATTAAGGGTTTTGATGTCTATAATGCAGGCGGACACTACAGCTACATACATTTCTGTTGAGTAGACGAATACGTTATAGTATACGCGTTCCCGTTACTTTCGGAAACTTTTATGTATATCAAAAGCGCTGATGAGCTTTTGATGAATGTACCAATGGAGAACGTGGAACTCTCTCCTAAGTATACTGTATATGTGTATATTAAAATGCACATCAGCGATATATACATCCCAGTGATTCATGTATGGAGATAGATGGGCGCGGTCGTTACTATACCTTAGATGTAATTATAAAGTGCATAGAAACGTCTACACATTCCATGAGTACATATAAGCGTAATATTTACCGCTCGCAAGTGTGTGTCACATGCATATATAGAGTGCACAGATATATGTTATCACCCCTGGCTGTAGCCTGGGGGCTTGCAAACCCTGGATGAATATCAAGTACTCAAATCAATTCGAATATGAATCGTAATGAACACTATGCTCTTATCACGCTCATATCATGAACAGTGCTAGTGTAGACCCCTACGTATTGGTTGTAGCACAGTTTATGGCTTCCTCTTTTGCCCACCCTTCCCAGATCTAATAGGCTGTCTTAGATAAAATACATCTAGG